CCCAAAGGGCTCTACTTTGATGATTTACCCCTTAGGAAACATTAAAAATATATCTTTAAAAAACGTCATTTTGGGGACCTGTGGTTTTCGATTTTTTTAAAATCCAGTTTTTGAGCTAGAATGCTCTTCTTCGAACTTGATCTGTCTTTTTATGATACCAAACGATCCTGAAAATCCCAGGTCGCTAGCTCAATTCGTTCTCGAGTTATCGTGCGTACAGACAAACAGACAGACAGACAGACGGACAGACAGACAGACAGACAAACAGACGCGAAACTTTTTGATCATCAGTGGAGTAATAGGCTTCGCTAATCGCTCAGCCAATGAAACGAAGAACCTGGAACGACGTTACGTCGACGTCAAAGATGACGAGAACGCGTTAGCGTTGTCGTTACAAAAAAAATTTCATTGTTTCAATGAGAATGTGATTTTCTACCTTTACAGAACGAGTCACGCGTTACATCTAGTTCGTTACTTCGTGACTTAACGTTAACTCTGGGTGCGCCAACTCTCAAATCACCTGTGTTTGGACGGCGGGCTAAAGCAAAGTTCCCTCGCGTCACCTACAAGACATGGCAGGGGACGCTTAATAAGCAATAATGTTAACGCCCTTTAGGGTAAGCCGTACGTCTTTTGTTTTCGATTCTCGGGTAGTAATAGTTATTTCCTGGTGCCATTTTAGATAAAAACTGCTATAACATTTTTTATGTTTTTTTTTCCTTGAACGTTTCTACAACCCTACCTTGCCCTACTTGCAGAGGGTAGCTTTAAGAACCGAGAACCTTAGTATTGTGCAAAGTATTCTTTCTCTGATAAATCATGCAATTGTATGATGCTCTGGGAGGAAATTTTAAGGAATTTGCTCTAATTCTGTCCGTTTTTCAGAGAAGTAATTTATTGACGGAAGGGAAAAGGTTACGTATTTACAGCAGAATGAAAATAATTCATATCTTGGAGGTAGAGCCTTCACCTTAAAATTTTCACCCAGAGGATCGTAAAATTATGCGTCAAGAATAATGCTTCGCACAAAGTTAAGGTTTTAAAAACCCCTCCTTGCAAGTCAGCATCAGGAGCGAGGGATTTTGATAATTAAAAGAGGGCTGCGCTGCAGGGAGCGTCAAAGTGCGAGGATAGTGGTCGCGGTCTGAAAACAGATAGGCTAGTCTTTTGCGCCAGCGAAACAGATAGTACGATACTGTGGCACGGACCCGTCGAAAGGCGCCGAAGCGATTGCTGGCGTTTTAACTAGCTGTCAACAGACGCTTGAAGAGAAGACTTACCATTGGTTCGATGTTGTGATTACGCATCTCATCGAGAACCTTGTGATAGTGTTGCACTCCCATTGAATTGGCCGGTTGAGATGTATCACCGTCGGGGAAGATCCTCGACCACGAAAATGAGAACCGGAAAACATTTAGCTATATATACAACATAAAGAATGAAAGATTATGTTTTTGTTGAATGTGCGGCATAAAGTGCAGTGAGTCTTGAACGCTTCTTACACCAATTTTTGCTGCAAGGGCAATGTCTTCTTTGTAATGTCCGTAAAAGTCAGCGGCCACGTCACTTGATTCACTCGTTGACGCGTTTTTTGAATGATAGTAATGGTCAAAGACATTTTCTCCTTTTCCTAATAACATAAAAATATCAGGCCGATTTAAAGGACAATTTTATCAGGGGTCCGTAACTTAACATAACAAACATGATTGGTTTGTTAAATAATTTAACAAAACCACAAATAAAATTTTAAGTTAAGTTGGTAACTTAACCGATTAGTAAATTGTTATACCCTTAACGTTATACAAAGAACCAATTCCCTTAACGTTAAAAGCAACTTTCGTTTATTTTAAAACTGATATCGCAAAAGCACGAAAGAATACATAACATTTTAACATTT